AGCATCACAAGATCGAGAAAGATTACTCGCCTTTTGGATGTTCGCCAGGCTTCCCAGACTTCAATGATACAGAGCCCGTCGAGGTTGGCAGAAAGCTCACCAAGGCACTAGTAATATGCTCTGCATCCATGGGGACGCCAGGAAACGGAAGCTTAGCAAACATGATAATGTTCTCGACAAATGTTCTATCTTTCGTGAGAAGAACATGCTCAGATTCACGGGGTTTTGTCCCTTCGTCTCTTTCAATAGCTTTAGCGAGGCCCTCTCTTGGAATCCCGGTGTTGACGATCCAGTCAAAAGGTACACCTTGCGAGTATTGGTGTTGTTGAAAGAGAGGGTTGGAGGACCCAATAGTATGCCCAGCAGAAGTATTACGTAGCCGCCAGTGCTGGAAGAATATCATATGATCAGATAAGTTCTTGCCAACCTCGGGAAGATCGATGAGTGGCTCAATGCCGAACTCTTGAAGATGGGTTTTCGGGCCGATACCAGAGAGCTGAAGGAGCTGAGGAGATCGGAATGCACCAGCAGAGATTATGATGTTGTGACCATTGACAACGTTCCCGTCGGCCAGCTCAACACCAGTGGCTTTGAGATTCCCATCGATTTTCTGGGTGACGATACGATTCACGAAAGTCTCAAGACGAACTTGGACTCCATCCAATGAATACTGATTGGCAGACCACTCGCGTTTACCATCAGACCTCGCTTCACAGATGTAAGCGCGACCGAGGTTATTCCCGCTGTTCTGATCGCCATCTGGCAGGGTTGAAACGCCAAGCTCTTCCCATCCAGCAGCGGCTTTCTCAGCCAGAGGGAAAACGCGATTGGATGCCTTGGCGCAAGTTACACGGATGGGCCCATCTCTACCGTGCTGTTCTGGGTTCTTGTCATCGAACCAAAGCTCTGACTTCCTGAACCATGGGAGTTGGCCCTTGTAGCTGTAGCGCTCGTCGCCAACAAGAGCTGCCCATGCGTCGTAGTCTGCCGCAGCACCACGGGTCCAGCCACCTACACATTATAACCGTTACTCAATTCACCTACCCTTCAAGACTCGTTTACTCACCTGAGTTAATAGCTGAACTGCCACCCAGGCCCTTTCCAGCGTTGAGAGTGATCTGTCGTCCCATAAGTGCTTCAACGGGCTCTGACTGATACTGCCAGTCCAATTCGCCGCCTAGGTTCAAAACCTGCATGTTATGTACGTCCGAGCGGCCACGCGTTTCTTTACCAGCTTCAATGAGAAGGATCTTGGCTGCATCATCGTACTCCCGGATGCGGCTGGAGAGAACACAGCCGGCAAGGCCACCCCCAACAACAATGTAGTCGTAAATTGGTGAAGCCATTGTGACTTGGGCGTCGTTTCAGGAATTCTTTTCTTACTGTGAGGAGTTACAAGAAGATAAAGAGTACAAAATAGTGCGCAATGGAATGAGAACTATTCGCGCAAGTGGTGGAGCAGCAACCGCTGACGTGAGATTTGGATTTATGGAATCGACATGTTATGCATCTATGAGCCGCATCTAATTACGGTATCTAGTAATTGACTAGTGTAAGATCAGGGGTACATTACTAGTTAAAGTAAAGAGTAATATCTATTCCCTTAAGGATCGAAACGATCAGAACGCCAAAAGCGCCGTTCAAGGTTTCAACAATATGTGCATGATAGATTGCGAGCAATTTGTATGTTTGGACTAACCTTTTCTGCCTTTTGCTCTACGGGCCGCCTTGCTAGGATGTAGACTTCAGAGGCATGACATTTTTTCCACATAAGTACAGGCATGGACAGAATCGCACTTGGCAGACGTCGCCGGTCGAATGATCTTATAGACAATCAGTAGAAGGGGACCTACTATGCATAGGAGATTAAATTCTAATTGAAACTCTCTTCCCCAGCAAGAGATCTAAGATTTCGAAACAGCATAATAGATGTAGCTTCCTTTGTTTTGAGTTCCTCTGTTCGCCTCGGAGACGACGAAAATATCGAGCCTCCAAGGACTGTGAAGAACATCACGTTATGCTCGTTATCTCTACTAAATAATTCAGTTGCCATAAGAATTCTTTCAGTGCTTGTTGCAATCAAGGTTCAAGTATTCAAGGCTTGACATATCTCGAAACCTTGAGCGGAAATTCTTATCGGTAATACTCTAGACTAGTAGTTATAACTCAAACAAACATGAATACGTCAGAGATAATAACGATTTCCCTTCTCTCGTTGAAGTTGGGCTTCGATTGGTGCAAAAAATAAACTCAGGCTCCCGAGAGGTTGTATACTTGCACCGACAGCACTCAACGCTACACAAGATATGTATAGTCGGACGAGGAGAGCTTTTCGGTTGCGCATGATATGATGAAGTCACTAACCTCGGGCTTCTCCCAGTCTTCGGCCTTTGAAAAAGGCCGTTATTGCGCGAGGTCAAATATGACAAGAGCGGTGCGGCACTCGGCCGGCAATCTTCCCTGGACTCGTGAATCATTTTTCGGAAGTCGCTCTTTGTAAGGCCACGCGATACGGTCTGCTTGACTCGAGGGTTGCTGGCGAAGTGGAGTCATCCTTAACTGTATCTGCATAACACTGTCGATCATTACATAACTGCCTGGAGATTCGCACTTGAAAGTTCCGATATTCACAGCAAACAGTGGCGCTGGGCCTGACATTTGGAGAATAATAGGATTCTCTTTCTCTTTGTCTTGCCCCTGACGATCGGATGTGTAAGACAGCATAAAGAAGAGGACCCGTGACCAGATCAGGTCTGCTGTTGCTCGTGTCACAGAACACAAACGACTGAGTTTCGCGTATCTTCTCTTTTTACTAGACTACGATGAAGATCTTGACAGGGAACAAATCTTCCGCTTACACATTCGGATCGGACATTTTAGAATTGCCGTAGAAGCGTCTCGCATGAATATCTCGAGTGATCAACCAATGCTGGTTTCAAGTTCGAACCCACTTGCACCACCTCGTATGCATGGCGACGGCCCGGAGCGACGAGCCAAGCGACCGACAACCGAAAACACCCTTGTATGTGTTTGTGACATCAGAAAGTAGGCAACCTGCCCGTTCGACTTCCTATAAGTACTTCATCAATCATTCCATTTACTCGGTTTGAATCCTCTGCTCAGGTTCTCATACTATTGTATCAGCATCAAAAACATCTTATTTCTGGGCTTCAGCTGCTCGATTTGACTCGTCTCTTCAATAATTTCCCAAGCAACAACACTAAAGATGGCTAAAGGCGCAAACTCTCCTCAACGCCCTCGGTACTGGCTTCTTACGTCTCCTCGTACTGCCTCCAACCTGTTGGTCAAGATGCTCAACCTCGGCGAGCAGAATGTACGCCCTGCCATCCACGGAGGATACTTCTTCCTTCCATCTTTGCCCAAGCACTTCTTGATTGCTGAGAAGCCCATGGACATATGGACGGAGGAGGAGAGTGCGACAGTGAACAGGGTAATTCAGGAATGCTCTGAAAGATTCCAAGATTATATCGCTGCGGCCGAGAAGGAAGGGCAGATTATTTATGTTAAGGAACACTCTATCATGCTGAATCATCCTCGCATCGAGGACAACCATGTCAATGGCTCGACGGGATACCAGAAAGAGGCGACACCAATTCCCATGAAGGGCATCGCTCAACCAACACGATCACCGCTCAATCTCACATTATTTCCGGATGAGTTTCTCAAGACCTGGAATCCAACCTTTCTCATCCGCCACCCCGCTCTAATGATTCCCTCTCTGTACCGCACATGTTCTGGCACGATGGAATGGGAGGGCTTCAAGCGTCCCAGAAAGGAACCCATGGCTGCAGAGATCACTACGAGGTGGCATCGAACGTTGTATGACTTTTACTCCGAGCACTTTGCCAACGACAGCATTTGGCCTATCGTCATTGACGCTGATGATGTCATGACATGTCCTCAACTGGTAGGCAAGTACGCGAAGCTCACTGGTCTTGATGAGAGTAAAGTCCGCTACTCATGGGATAAGGCAGGAGAGGAAGTGCTGAACAAGCTGAGCCATGTGGAGCAGAGGATGCTTAGCTCTATCAACGCCAGTACCACGATTGACCAGAGTAAAGTCGCTGGGAAAGTTGACATTGATCAGGAGGCAGTCAAGTGGAAGGCTGAGTTTGGTGAAGAAGGGGCGCAAAAGCTTGAGCGTTGGGTGAGAGACGCTATGCCAGACTATGAGTTTCTACATTCCAGAAGACTCAGGTTGGAGCAAGAGTAGAGAGCACATGAGTACTGGCTTGACGGGTACGGAAGGTATTTTATCAAGTCATTGAACAAGAAATCGGTTCTAGAGAGCCTTATTAGGTAGTGAATTCAGCAAGATGTCTCTAAGTTCGAGTTGGTTGAGCTTTGCGATATTCCACTACGCCATGTTTTGGGGAAGCTGTTACAAGTCTACCACGGGAAAATCATGGCAGGTTGAATGCAACAGATCTCCTAAGATTTCAATGCCTGTTATTTTCAGTCACCTTCGGATGAATTCCTTATGGTAATGTAAGACGGACACTAGGATGTTCTACATTGCGCTATAATTAATCAAGCTGCAATCTATAATTCGTCTTGCCTGGAACTCTGTGTACACAAGGCCAATGAGAACAAAGAATCGCGATCAGAAGCTTGCAATGATATTATCGCTGTCTATATATTTTTCTCTGCTATTATTATGATCAAACATTAACATTCATCTGATACAATAAACATCACATTGGAAATTCTTCGGGAGCAAGACCGACGCAGACCATCGCTTCTCAACTCGAGGGAGAAGACCAAGATCAAGCGAGGCAACCTACCCGAGACATTTCCCACAATTTGGAGAGCCGTCTTGTCGACTGCAGGCAGTGAGAACTGCAAAGATTGGGAACTGGGGGATGGCGGTTTCTTCTAACCTGTTTCGGCACCATCTCGTGAGAGCCCGAAGACGGAAATGGAATTCAGGCGGGAATAGATCGAGTCTAGTCTGGCCCAGAGCTGTCGACATGTCTCGGCTATTCCATATTCCCGACTGGCCCTGACGGGTTGGGCTGACATTCGAACCTGGCGGAGGCTGTCTCTGTAATCATCTGGCCTTGCGGGGGAAGCCACCGAGAAGGGCAGTCTGCACCGGCGTAGGAGGATGAGAGTAAGGGATCTACAAATGACCTAAAGGTATCATCGGCAATCACAGCGGTGGCAAGATATGAGGTGTCTTTCAGGAACTTGATGCAACATGATGATGATGTAGTTGAGGGTAAATCAGTCATCCAGCTACGCAATACCAACAGAGATCTCCAGTACATCGTCGATGATTCTACTCAAAACCCAATCGAGGCCCTGTTTGCCCCGGCTATGGAATGAGGGGTCCTGAGATCGAGGGTCCTGTATATGAGAAACACGTCCGGAAAGCGAAGGGACTAAGTAAACTTGTCCCTGAAAAGGCACTGAGGAATTCCGCCCCGAGTCTATTTGCGTTGATCGGTCATGGATTCAGGAACCACTAAGGTATGCAGAGCGCTAATCACCCGAAACTTTAAATGAACGACATCCGGACCTTGTTTACTCGTCGATAAGGTTCAGGGCCAGTGGCGGCGTGGCTGCCGACGGGAATGAGAGCAAGCCACAAAGTGGTGCCTGAACGTGGAAAGATTGGCACTACGTCAGGTATCGTCAAGTCTGGACTCGAGGGCATATTGATGGTTGCGAATGGATGGTATGAGGATAACAGTATATAACTGCCTCTCAGTTCCCTGAGAATGCACTCCCCCAGTCACTCACTCACACTCAAAAGCTCTTTGACATTTAACTGGAACAACAATCTTTGTCTCTCAACCACTCCTTGATCAACTCAAATTATACACTTGCAAAGTAATCAACACTTACTACAACATGAAGGTCACTCTTCAGCTCATCACCGCTGCCCTTGCAGTTTCTGTTGCAGCCCATCCTCAAAACGGACGGGGCGGTGGAAAGCCCAGTAGCACCACCACTGCTGCCGCTGCATCTTCGACAACTGCTGCTCCCGGCCGAGGAGCCATGTCTTCTCTGCCCTTCCTGCCAACCTGGCTCTTCAGAGACTCCAACGCCAACAAGTGCATCAGCACTTACAACAACTGCTTGATCACCAACTCATCCAACCAATCGGCATGCGCTTCCAACTACGCAGCCTGCATCAAGGGCGGGCCTTCTTCTACCGGCTCTGCTACATCAGCTCAGACAGCTACTACAACTGTTTCAAGTGCTGGCGGTCCTCCCACTCGCACCTTTTCTCGACCCTCCGTCTCTGGTCTTGCTCAATGGTGGAGAAACGAGCAGAGCATCCGACGATGCAACTATGCCTACTACGTCTGCCGTAGAAAGTCTGGCTCTACTCAGACGTCTTGTGCTTCTGACCGAACCGCCTGCATAGCTTCCGCCAGCGCCACTGGAAGCGCCACGGCTGTGCCTACCAGTGTTCCTACCAGCATCCCAACCAGCGCGGCGACTACCACTGCGACTGGATCAGCAGTTACATCGACTACTAACGTCGCTGCGGGTACAGGCGCTGCTGGTGCCGATGCTCCTCTCAACTCGGACGATCCCTCGTTTGATGATGAGAACTACGATGCTGATACTGCCTAAGCTTGTCAAAAGCCCACGTCAATGTAAAAACACAACACATCAAGCAAAAATTTCCTTGCTGTCAGTTAACCGAATACCTGAGTTTACTGGGAAGGTCTCCCTTGTCTATCACCTGGCATCGCATGTTTGTGCGACAACCATTCCATCCCTTGGTTAATATTGATTACCACTGTCCTTTGATGCAAAGAGCTAGAGTACATCTTAGACAAAGAATGATAAAGTTGTTTGCCAGTAATATTTGTTCCGAATGCTCGTGTGCTGTGCCATGTCTATTGTTGTGAGCCTACGATAAGTACAGTGATCAGAGACTCCGAATGCAGCTCAGATTCGGTTGAGGCTTTGCATTAAGTGATCTAGGCCAGTCGATTGTGCGCGACTCTCTCCATCTTTCGTTGCCAACCACCAAAATTTAGCGCACCAGGACGGAAGAGAACGAGTGTCGGGCAATTGGCTTGCGAAATCCTATGGTGGGGTTGTGGTGGGTACATACTGATTGCAAGTCACTGGCGGTCTGGAGACAGACACGCGAAAGGAATTGTTAGTGCTGACGCGTTGAGCGTGCGACACGGAGAGGGACTCAACGACGCGTGCCCCTGCAAAAGACAGAAATTTCGTGCTGTGGCTCTGTGGCTCTCCGTATAGCTCCTGAACCTGTTAGAGCATGGGTGCACAACCTCACGGCTTGCACTTGGGAAATGGAGGGGCTGGTGCAGGTGCAGTGCACAATTATTTAGCACAGCATAACCTGGCATGATTCTTTATGCATGGGTTGGCTTTTCATCAGTGCTTGTCATTATGAACTTGCTTATCGATATTGCTAGGTTTATGCAAAGTATCAGCCCTCAATTCTCCCAATCATACTCGGGAATTGGAAATGCTTTCGCATCGCCAAAGCCAGCGCCAATGTACCGCTGAGCGAACTCGACGAGCCCCGTCCACGCGACCAAGGCGAAAATATTGTTGCGCAGCCAAATACCCCAAACTGTCTGCGGCGCCAAGATTGTCGTGATGAGCGGAGGAATCACCTGCATCTTGTTGATCAGAGGCCTGATCTGTTGCTCATAACCCTCAAGACCAGCTGTGATATCTCCCTTGTGTTTGCTCAGTTCTCCTGCCAGGATGTAAGCGCCTGCAAGGGCGAGGCTGGTTCCACCGCCTGTGAGACCTGCTGCGTATCCTGCATCACCAACCAAGACAAACCGCCCCTTGGACAATGTCGGTGTTTTGACCTGTACAATTTCACTCGCGTAAAAGTCCTCAGAACTCATCATTTCCTTCAGTGCGATGCTGCTTTTCCATCCTACGTCACTGTAATGCCGCGCAATGTACTTCTTGAGTGCGTCGTTCCCTTTTGCTGAAGCCTCCCGAAACGCGTCCGCGCTCTCTGACTTACCTCTCGAGTTCATGCACATGAGCAAGACTCGACTGAAGCCTGCGGGATCCGTACCAATGCTGATATTCCGTCCTCTCACTGCGTTGAATCCCTGTCCAATTTTGCTTCCGCTGAGGACGTCCTGGGGTATCGAGAAGTAGGCCGACCAGCAGTTGGTTGAGACGATGTGATCACCAACATTACACCCCAGTCCCAATGCACGCGTTCTTGACGTCGCGCCATCGCAAGCAATCACCAAATCGTACTCCGAGGCTTCCGTACTGTTTGCAAACGTGACTGTGATAGGGCCGGCAATCTTTTCACTCTGCTGCATCGACGCTATCTGCTCATCAAATATGTAGTTGATGTTCTTGTTGTCCTTTGTCATATCGAACAGAATCTTGGATAAATCCCCGCGTAAGATCTCGTACTCCGAGACAAGCGACTGTTGGTCCGGGTTGCCAGTTGGTCTGATAACTCCGTAAGGCGTGCCATCTTCGCGAACAAAGCTGATCCCTTCTTCTTGCGTCGACTTGGCTCTCACAGCAGCCTCCAACCCTGCCATCCTTCGCATGACCGAAACACCAGCGGTGCGAATGTCGACGACTTGTCCACCGGTGCGCAGAGCGGGAAAGCGTTCAATTACTGTGACCTTTGCGCCAGCCTTTGCAAGCCAATAGGCTGTTGCAGGTCCCGCGATTGAGGCTCCTGACACAAGAACTTTGAGGCCCGACATTTGGTTGGAGCGGCTGAAATTACGGAATCGTCGGATGGTTCTCTACAATTAACAATACATCCGGTCCATTTTTCTTGACACTCATTTCCAGCTTTAATATGAATTCCCAATTGCTCAGATGTCCCTCATTCCGGACAATGGAAATGTAGATAGCGGACAACGGACTATGTTAATAGTCCATTTTGACTGGTAAGCGCTACAATTTGGGCGCAGCGACGATACTGTTGGCTGGGACGGAGTCACTGCGTCATAGAGCTGGCTATGCGGCACTCAATCTTAGACAAATGTATTTCAGGGTGGAAGTCATAGTATTTGTCTCGAGTAAATTTGTAGAGCGTATACAAGCATGAAAACAGTGGAGAATGAGGTCTGAGACCGTTGATTGAGGCATGTCATTGTTGCTAGCGCTGTTCACAATTTGGGCCTTCATCGCTAGTTGATGAGGCTCATCAACTTAAAAGCAAGAGCAGGGTTTTCACGCAGCGACACGAGTTTCATAAGTTTCAGACCAGAGAAAACTATATTTCTCAGGTATTATGAGATAGCAACTCAAGAGTATATATGATCTGAAGCGGAAAGTAGGAGGTATTGCACCTTGGCAAATCATACCGACATCTACTACCCTACAGCCGCTGTGAGCTCCGGCCGGTCTGTAAAATCTCCGCTCGGTGATCTCGGTAGTGGACGGGGAGGCTTGCTCCTTCATGGCGATGCAAAATACCGAAATTGTAAGCATATAAAGTAAAGAGACAAAATTTATATTGGAGCTTCCTATAGAATTCTATTATCTTTTCTTGATTATTACCGAATTGCAAGCTGCTCGATCCTGACCATGACTTCATCACCGGTTCATTCGGACACCAAGACACAAACTCCATCCGTATCGATAAGCTCCAACGACTGCCAAGTCCACGGACAGTCTGAGACCCCCCATCTCGACAGGCTTCTCCAAAACCGCCCCAAAGCCGAGCTCCAAGGTCTCGCCGACGCCGTTGACTGCCTAACGCACGGCGATCAATGTGCCAAATGCGCGGTCCAAGCCGCAGTCACAATCGTGACCGGTTTTCTTCAAGAATTGTACACGGCTAAAAAGACCGGGAAAATCTCAAAGGAGGACAAGAAAGCGCTCAAATCGGAAGTCAAGGGATTGGTGAAAGGGATAAAGGGGGATGTCAAGGCTCGGAAGAAAGAGATCAAGGGCCAGTGAATGGTACTTATCTCTGGCTTCATCGCTGCACCTCTGATGTAACAACAAGGTTTATGCTAGTTCAGGAATATTCATGACATATCCCTCGGAGAACTCTCAGGCTGATCTGGAGAGAAGCCCGAGACGATGATGATGATCGTGCTGTAGAAATTTACCTCAATCCACTCCACACAGAGCATGCCCCTCTATTCTCCAACACCTCCGTCCCCATGGGGTCCGTGGAGACTTCAGAGGCCCAGTCCATTCCAAGGAAAATTACAAACACATTATCTCGGGTAGAGTGACACCACAAAAGCCGAGGCCAGATGCTACGTTGCGCAGGATAGTGGGGAATTACCCCAATGTCCATGGGGATAAGGCCTTCTCCAACCTTCTCCCCGCAGCCTTTTCCATGCGGAGACTAGCTATCAACGGCATGGCTTCTTGTTGCATTCGGCCCGTCACGAATGTCACACGCTTTCGAAGCCGGTCAAGAACGAAGAAGTGAAACAATCCGTTGGTCGATCAGAGCCGCAACTCGTACACTACCCGATACGGGGATCAGCCCGGCTTGTGAATCGCTGGTGACGGAACTTGCCCGCTGCCGTACTGCCGAGTCAACGTTACGCGCACCTATAGGATGCAAAGAATAGTAAGGACAGTATCTTGCAGAGAACTCCACAACTCCACCTATCTGCTTGAGACAAGGTTTGGGCCATAATGCGGAGAGTCGTGCTAAGAGATTATATATAATTACCTTAACCGCCACCTGCTTTCTTGGCTTCTGATCACTATCTTGGCAGATGCAATTGCAGGCCAGTCATTAAGATGTCTGAACAGGTCCTCAAGCCAAAGGACGAGCTCGGTCATGCCGACTTTGACCACAAGGAAGTCTTGAAGAACAACGATCTTATGCATGATGCCTTTGATGCTGAACAGCGCGAGCATGAGCAGGGTGTTTGGGCTGCCGCGAAGGCCCATCCTTGGGCTTGCTTCTGGGCATTTATCATGTGCTTTACCATTGTCAGTAAATCTCAAGAGTCCTCATTTCTAAATGGCTACTGACGTTTGTTCACCCAGGTCATGGAATCGTTCGATATGTTTCTGAACGGAAACTTTGTCGCTCTTCCCGCTTTCCAGAAACACTACGGAGTCCACGTCGAGGGCTCAGGTTGGACCATTCCGACAAGATGGCAGAGTGCTCTCTTTCAAGCAGGACAATGTGGTGCCTTTGTGGGTGTCTTCCTTGCCGGGCCCATCACCAACAAGTTCGGTTACCGATGGACAACAATCTTTGCCCTGATGCTCATGAATGCGACCATCTTCATCTCATTTTTTGTAAGTCGTCAACCTACCCCAGTCCCCAGACGGCGCCTAACCAGATCTGCAGGCCGACTCGTTGGAGCTCCTTGTCGTCGGACAAGCCTTAGAAGGTGTACCGTGGGGCTTCTTCATTGCCAACTCCCCTGCCTATGCTTCCGAGATCGTGCCCCTTGCCCTCCGTGGCGCTTGTACAGCGACCCTGCAGATGAGTTGGTCTATCGGGTCCATCATTGTGGCTGGTGCTACTTATGCCTACAATAAGAGGAATGATCAGTGGGCTTGGCGTGTGCCTCTCGCTTTGCAATGGCTCTTCCCAGTAAGTGGTTCTCAAACTTCGTCAATCATCCCCGACCTCTAATACTTGCCTGCAGACCCCTCTCTTGATTCTGGTCTTCCTCTCCCCCGAGTCTCCATGGTGGCTCATCCGCAAAGGTCGCAAAGAGGAGGCACTGCGTTCGATTCAGCGCCTCGGAAGCAATGACAAGGAGGTAGCTCACCAGAAGCTTGCCATGATGGAGCGTACTGTCGAGATTGAGGAACAGGAGGGTAGCAACCCTTCTCTGCTCGACCTCGTCAAGGGTACCGACTTGAGGCGGACAATCATTACTTGCTTGATCTACGCCTCGCAGAACTTTGCTGGTAACTTGATCGCTAACCAAGCCACCTTCTTCTTCGAACGTAAGTATCACTCATGATGTTCCCGCAAGCCGCTTTACTAACCTCAAGTACAGGGGCTGGAGTCTCAACCGAGCGTGCCTTTCAGCTTAACCTCGTCAACTCGTGCCTCCAGTTCGTTGCGAACATCTTGTCTCTCCCCATCACCGGTTCCTTCGGCCGCCGTACCATTTACCTCTGGGGCACAATCATCAATGTCGCCTTCTTGTTCATCCTTGGCATCGTAGCCACAATCCACCAGACCACCGCCACCAACTACACACAAGCTGTGCTTGGAATATTGATATCCTTCGTCTATGCTGGTAGTCTTGGACCTATCTCATACACAATCATTGCAGAGACCTCGTCTGTCCGACTTCGTGCTCTGAGCACTGGCGTTGGTCGTGCTGCCTACTACGTTGCCGAGATTCCCATGATCTACCTGGCTTCACGGCTCCTGAACCCTACTGGATGGAACCTTGGTGGCAAGTGCGGCTATGTCTGGGGAGGCACTGCAGTTATTTGCTTCGTCTCGGCCTACTTCTTCCTTCCTGAGCTCAAGGATCGATCATACCGCGAGACTGATATCTTGTTCAAACGCAAGGTCCCTGCGAGGAAGTTCAAGTCAACTGTCATCGATGTTAGAGATAACGAGTAAAGACAGAGTCAAGGTCCATAGTTTACGAGGTTATGCAGCGTATTGGTTGGAAACATGATGCCGACGGGTAGCTCAACTTGACGCACCTGTGATATAGAATTTGTATATTAGCCAAAGAGAATTAAACAACGAAATGATCATGCCTGGTCGTTGTCTCCATATGATGTTACGTTTTGCTAACTACCTTTGGTCTACTATTTAAACAGCGGGGCTCGCGATACTAACAATCTCTTGTCAGAACTCTTATAACTACTTGATGATCATAAGTCTAGACACCTCCGACCAACAGCCAGGTACTTTCTTCTCAAGATTTGCAATCATGTACTCACAATCCAGACACTATGACATAATCGTCAGTCGCGGGTTTAGCTCAGTTGGGAGAGCGTCAGACTGAAGCCAAACTTCATCACCGACATCTGAAGGTCGTGTGTTCGATCCACACAAACCGCAACAAGTCATCAATTCCCAGAAATGGGATCCCACTTTTTGCATGTCGATAAATTAACCTAGAATCGTTATATTTTCCTCATCACTGCACGCCAGCTAGCCACCCACTCCTGGCTGTAAGGCAGCATTCTTTTACCAGATGGCTAAAATATTCGGGACATTTAGGCTTGGATGATGATTCTGACTTATTTATTTATTACTAACCGGTAGGCCCTTTAAGACGTCTCTGAAGATTCGGTCAATCTTTATGATTGAAGTCATACTGGCAATCTTGGTCTACTGATCTCTATGTACGAAGTCCAACTTCAAGGAACCGGTGCACAGACCCGGGAACTTCTGATACATACGTGACAGTCAACCGCTCATCTGCCTTTGCGAGCAGACTGGTCCAGTCCTGCAAGCTGCGCTTTTGAGATTTGAAGAACTGCATCATAGGCATGTCTGCAGCATTGAGCATATGGCTCAGCGCTTCAAACGGTAGTGCGGCTGTGTTCGAAGGAGCCACAGCTTCAACAAGGACTCGTGAACCACACCCAAGGTGCAGTACCAGATGTGTAAGGATATCTGCCGCATACTCGCCAGGCCAGTTATGAAGCCCCATATTGAGCATATACACGTCTCATCAGGTGTTTTGGGCTTGCAAGAAATTGTGGGGCTCAAATTCGACCCGGGACTTGATGTCGGCAGGTACCTGCTCATAGAAAGAGGTCCGAAGTTGAGGAAGATCTTGGACAGTGAACTTCAAGTTAGGGAACGCCCAAGCAGTGGTGGTAGAGTCATGTCCACTAGATCCACCAATCTGAGAGATGTCAGGATACTTGAGCCTTGAGCCAGTACAGCTCTTTAGTGGCTTGCATCAACCACGGTAGCTTCACCAAGCCTGTTACAGTCGTAACCGGACTTTAAAAGTTATCAGTCTTGATGACAGAGACCGATGCTGCCACTTGCAAGCACTCGGCGAATCTCGCACTACGCCAACCTTTCGGCTTGCCTTAACTTCGCGATTGACATAGTCCTCGAACGTCTGAGGCTTGTCGGATCTGCCAATATTAGCCAAAGAAAAGCCACTCTTGCTGGTTCCTGACTAGGCTCCTGTTTGCCGCTGCTGAACTGCCATGGTGACTCTACAACGTGAAGTGAACCAGGACCTGCTTGCGATGCAGCTTCGGCGAGATTAGTCAGCGATGGCGTCGTGGTTGTCATCTCGAGCAAGGTGAGATGGTGTATCTGCAGTGTAAGTTTCCTGAAGTCCATCACGGCTACTCCTCCGGCATGCATGACTCTTGCTTAAATAGTAAAAGCGGAGGAGAAATACTATGGAATATCGACATGCATGTGACTTTTCGGAAACTTAAATCTGAAGCCGTGGTCATTTTCACGCTGATCAATCACAGGGAGTATGAGACGGTGAGAAATTGATGCTTGATGCAACGATGCGTTTATGTACATAATCCGCCTGGGGGTAATCGCCAGTCGCTTCAGGGTTGAAACCACGCCGTTGCTATTATGAGTCGAGGGATTTCAAGTGGGCTTGAGCTTCATTGGTACTCAAATCCTCCAAGCTGATCTATTTCTTTTCCGTAAATGAGGAATCACCTTCTTCAAAAGTCTCACGAATCAGGAACTTCTCATCGTTGACATGGTGATGTCGAACCCAAAAGATGATGGTCTGGGCGAAGAGAGCAATTCCAGGAGCAGCCCAGGCCCACTGTGAAGACTATGTTAGCCAGTGACTAGAGTAATGACAGTCTTACTTACGATAAGGTTGGGATCTTTGATAGAAGGAATCAAGATCTGAGCTAATGCCGAAGATAGAGCCTGCATAGCCAAATTGATGGCGACAACAGTAGACTTCATACCCTCAGGCGCCCTTGCATATGCCATCTCGTATGCCGTGACTGCGGTAAAGAGCTCGCCGATAGCCCCAAGCATAACAGTAGGTAGCTGCCACCAGATAGAAACGGGGGACACACTATCGCAGGTCGAAGCCTGATATCCACAAGGTGAGGTTTTATAGACCCTCCACTGGATAATTGCACCGACAACGCTTCCGATGATGGCGGAAGTGTAGCCGACAGTCATACGACTGATGGGGCCAAACTTGATGTGGTGTCTGTTCAAGAGAGGGTAGAGAACAAACGACATGATGGGCGCGAAGACCATCAGTGTGAGTGGATTGAAGTTGTGGATCAGATCGTTGGGTGCACCTTTGGTAGTCATCGACGCTCCTTGATTAGATAAAACAGTACCAACACCACCGTTATTGAGGTAGAATAATGGCTGGTAGAGAAAGATCTGGCACGCGGAGAGGGTCCTGCGAGCATGTTCGACTGCCTGACTATCCCAAGAAGCTGTCTTGCCCTTCGCAGCAAGAACAGATGGCTTGACTGAGTCAAAAAAGTTCTTGGCCCAAATTCTGCCTCTGTTCTCCTTGATAGCCAGCCCGACGATCTTGAAGAAGGTATTGAGGTCAGATCCTTGAGGCGGTGCGCGCTTGAGGGTTTTGTACCGCCACATGAGCAGCACTGGCAAGAGGATGTAGATGATGCCTGGAAGGAGAAAGGCGAGCCAAAAGCCAACATATTTCTCGATGTAAGTTGTGGCGATCATGAAAAAAGCACCAACGTTGATGCACATATAGAAGATCAACATGATCCTCTGAATAGTGGTCTCAGGATCAACGATGACACGCTCACCAGACTTGAGTGTCTTGACATATTCTGTCTGGTCGGTGTATTGGTCGATGATGAGGGGAACAACATTAGGCTTGAACAGACCGGCTCCGATGGCGAGAAGAAAGAAGCTGACCATGAACGGCGCAAGCCCATTGCCGGCCTTTAGAACAGCAGGAGCTGCACCTCCAACCATGATAACGTGTGCCACGCCGCCGATGATGACTCCATACATGATCGCTCTGAAACGGCCGGTCTTGGTGTCGCCGAGCCACGCACCAAAGATTGGGATGACATAGGCAAGGAAGTTGAACAGGAGAACCATGGCCGAGGCAAACTGTAAACCTCGGTTTCTGCCATTGAGCGCAATCAGTCGATAGTTCAGTCACATATCGAAGGAACTTACAAAGCACCAGCATGGCCGTTGGGGTTGTTCTTAGCTACAGCTCCGGCTCCATTGCCTCCCTTTGGGAGCGGAAACTGGAGGAAGTTGTTGAAGACTGTCTTGCAACCATAGAATGAGGCTCGTTCTGCAAGCTCAACAATGCAGAGAAGATATGAAACCCATGGGATACGTCCTGCTATTTTCCTTAATTTCTGCTGCTCTTCGGTGGTCGGGGGTAATCGATCCGAGGTGCTACCAGATAGAGACACGGCATTGGCCTCTGGGTCGAGTGCTGGACTCTTGTCTTGAATAGCCTCAGCTGAGGTTGCTAACAACAACTCATTAGTCGTGCTTCGATTTGGCCCGAGGCTACTCACCCATCTTGTAACTGAGATAGCCTCTCGAAAGTAATAGGCTACCTGGGCTTGGTATTTCCCAAATGGATGAGACGCCGTAGCGTAAGGACTACATATCTTGTTTATGATGGTTTTGCAACACCATGTTTCGCCCCTAGAGTGATGTCGCCATCATCTCAATCTTCACATCATCGACAAATTACATAAAAAGAGGACCTATTGTGGATTATCCATGTTTCAAGCGACCACTCTTGAGTGCATTGGGATCTGTTGGTTTGACATATGGATTTGGAAGTGGCATTACTAGCTATGATGTCGGAGTCGGGCCGCCCCGATCCCACGTTACAGCCCGGGAAGTGGGTGATGAGTTATTATTCGCCAAACGTCAAGCACCGAAATGCCAGGTAGTGCGTGGGAGGAAGCAAAGAATAATCGGGGATTCCGACTAAGGTGCGAAAGTGTTCAAGAAGAATGGAGCAAACAACGCTATGATTCGTGTATTGGCCGGGCAGAGGGCTTGCATCTGAGCATCGACGATAGCGATCGTTGCAGTGGAGTAGATTTAACTTTATCCTAGCTCCATATCTCGACAATCTTTGCTGTTTTGCTGTAGCAAGAGCAAGGTGAGCCGGCTTTCCTACCATATCAGTGGGTTCTGTGCGTCTAACACCACTTTCGCGAGATATTGTGTCACCGGCGCACGGCTAGAACGGCATCTCAGACTTTACCATCGATAGGGATTCCCATATACGTATATATTAGGCCTATCTGAGAACTGGCTGTTCCTCCTACTGGGAGGAGATTTCATTATCTTCTTACGGAACGGCTTGGAGTTTCGAAAGGGCCTCTGAGCAAATGCCAGTGTGTTTGGCCTTGAAAATACCGGATATTTACAGTGGATTTATAGTGGGTGACAGCGCTGTAGGCCCACCTGAATGCGCGAAGCAACTGAACGCGACTTGGATTACTTACTTGGATGGGAAATCAACACCATGCCGACATAGCAAAGACGGTTCAATAACGAAAAGCCCAGTATAAAGAATATCCCTCTATCTGGCACATCACCGTTCAAGATATGTCCGGTGTGTAGCCAATTATGGAGTTAGTCTATGTAGCTTGTTGTTGATAGTCAATGCGTGCCTTCACCTTGAGCCATGAAGACATCTAATATGTAGCATCGAGCTGATATGCTCCCGAATGGGCTTTGGTGCAAGAATAATGATCGGTATCAAAGTTTATTTAAGTATCTAAGCTCTTGGTAAGCAAAGTACCCATGCCATCAGATCCCCCATCCCCAACGTGCTTAAAATTCAACTGCTTGAGTATGTTGTTTTAACACAAGGCAAGGTCTTCGGCCGTACGCTTCAGCATTTTCCCAATTGATCGAGGCATGTGGTTCTGGAGGGCTGAGGAGGAGGAGGGTCAGGCTTTGGGCAGGGCTTAGGGGGTCTGGGTCGAGCTGGAGCAGGCATCTTTTTAGTTTAGGTGAGTGAGATTAAAGTTGTTATTTAGGCTATTGGATGTTGAAGGGTAGGATTGCCAAGTTTTGTTGATTTGATTTGAAAAAAGAAGAAACGCAAAGTCCTCAGTCGAAGAACCATTCTTTTATAGGCATTTCTCTTGTTGAATCACGGGGACTGGCATATACACCCGCTCCTCATTACTGCAATTTTGGTGAACCCGGTTGCAAGATAACACGGGTCAGAGAGCGTGAGTAACAGATGTCGAGAATGCATGGCCTATAGTATTATGACGGTCGATCAGTGCCTTGATGTGAATGAGTTTGTGTTTTGGGTCTCGTGGTTGAGTTCCGGCAACTTGTCACAGCCTGCTCAAAAGTCAAACTATCAGCATTGAATACCATGGCAGCACCGTAGGCAAGAATTAACTGCTTGGGATACAAAGTAATTGCTGTTGGCAAGATGAACTGCTGCTGAAAAGAGGAAATTGCTCTCATAAGAGGTAAGTGCTGCTGGTAGGAAGTATGTATCCGCATGCCTTAAACCGAAGCACTAACCCTCATATTAATGTGGTACCAGTATTTAGTGTAGGTTCCATCATGCGTAAGGCCCCATAGTCAAGAGTCACTGCAGAATGCTACCGACTGTGCTCGATATATTTCGCCTCTCGATACCGATTGATCTGGTCCTTAACATCTCGTGATATTCCATCATTGTTGTTGTGAAGT